CCCCCCGATTCCCCTCATTCCTGGCCGGCGCCGCTTTGTTCGCGCCGCGTTTGCAAATGGCGGCAGCGCCCGGCGGCCCCCGCGCCCCCTCCTCACCCTCCGCGCCCCCTCCTCGTTTTCGCCCCGCGGCCCCGCACTCGAGTGGGGACGGGGATGGGGGGCCTGAGGGGAGCTGGTCCCTTCCCGACCCCCTCAGCCGCCCCTGATGGGATGTTCGGGGGGGCATCGTGGAGGAGGTGGGATCGCCCCCCTTGGAGGGCCTCAAAGCCCCTCTTCCCTCCCCATCCCACCTCATCCCAGACTGGGAATTACATTGGGATCATCCCCTTTGGGGGGGATTTTAGCCCCTCTGCCCCCTTCAGGATCTTACTCTCCTCAGCTTTTCGCGGCCTCTGTCCCTGCTCCCTCACGGATCCCGCTGGTCCAACCCCGTTATCCTCCGTTTCTGGAGGGTTTAGAGGAACAGAGATGCAGCACCCCCTTCCCGCCTCGTCTGCTCCGCAGGGACCGCCGGCTTTGTGCCCCCTCACTCCGGGATTCCCGCTGGATTCCGGGGTTCCCGCTGGAATCCGGGGTTCCCGCTGGAATCCGGGGTTCCCGCTGGATTCCGGGGTTCCCGCTGGATTCCGGGGTTCCCGCTGGAATCCGGGGTTCCTGTTGGAATCCGGGGTTCCCGTTGGAATCCGGGGTTCCCGCTGGATTCTGGGGTTCCCGCTGGATTCCGGGGTTCCCGCTGGAATCCGGGGTTCCCGCTGGATTCCGGGGTTCCCGCTGGATTCCGGGGTTCCTGTTGGAATCCGGGGTTCCCGCTGGAATCCGGAGTTCCTGGGAGGCTTCATCCCTCATCCATCCCGGGCAGGTGCCAATATACGGATAAAAGCAACCAATTCTTTCTTAAAACATGGCCTTGAACCCGAGCGCGGCTTTGCCTGGCTCACACTTTCCCACGTTTAGGGCAGAAATTCCAGCCTTTTACGTCCTTTGCTTGTTTTTCCCCAGCGTCCTTCCCAAAAGGGTTTTTGGGAGAGTCACTCCTTCCCTCGGGAGGCTCCATCGGAGCGCGGGAAGTTTGGTGAATTCCTGCTGGGGGTGGAAGGGGTGAGGCCGAAACCTGGTGAAATTCCAGAGTTTGTCCCGTTTCCAAGGGCCGAGTGAGGATTGAGCTCCCGGTTTCACTGAATCTGTGGTTCTTCTCCTCGAGAGACAGAAATCTGCTGGTGCTGCAGCATCAGATCCCAGATTTCTCCCTCCAAAAATCCCAGGAGAGGGATAATGGGAGATTCTCTGGCTGTTGTTGTGATTCTGACTGTAGGAAGGGCTGGGTGGGATTTCAATCCTTTCCTTATCTAGCCTGGAAATTGAGGGAATTTTAAGGAAAATAACGGGGCCTTCAGGGCCCAGCCCAGAGCAGGAAGCACCAGGAGATGCCATGTGGCTCCTTGGGAATGATTCTCCCTGCTCAGCCAGCGTCGGTCGGGGTTTAATAACAATTAAATCCAGATTTATGACACTATTAATGAATAAAATCAACAATGAACGAACTGGCAGGATTGGGACCAGAGGGGTTTCCTTGGATGGGATTGTGTGTCCTTGCAGCGGCTTGAGGGAATGAGTTTTCCCGGTTTTTATCTTAAAAATGTGTTTTTTATCTTAAAATCGTGAGTCCTGGCTCTCGGGGTGAGCTGATGGACGCGAGGCCAGAAGTGGGGAGGTGCTGGTGGATCTTCCTCATCCTCCGCTGCCTTTGGTTAATGACCCTGGCTGGAGCAGGTGCTGATCTTTCCGGTGTCCGTGTGGGAACGGCGAGGGAGCATCCAGAGGGTCCCGTTCCTCTGTTCCGGGGAACAAAGCACTGGAGTTGGAACAAAAGGCTCCCCTGCTCCAGCTGGGGGCGGTTCCCACAAAAAAGGCAGGAATTTGGTGTCACTTGGGCTGAATTTATCCAATTCCAGGACTTCTGAGCGCTGGGTTTGCTGGGTTTATCCCGTTTCCTCCTGATAAACTCAGGGAAAAGCATCCTGTGGAATCCTAATGGAAAGGCAGCGGGGCTCTGGGGTAAAAGCAGGGATCTGGCAGAGGGATCTGTGCAGGGAGATTCCCGTTAGGATCCCAGAGGGATCCACCAGGAGCTGCCCATGCGAGCAGAGGGAAGAAGGGCCCACCTGGCATTAATTTGTGTCATTAATTAATTAACTGTCTCCAGTGTGGAGAGGGGAGTTCTGTCTGCTTCAGTTACAGGAGCAGGAGCTTCGGAAAAATCCCATTCCATTGGAAAAACCTTTTGGGAATAAAAGTGAATAAGGATTGGATGCTCTGTGGTCCTCCATTGCCAGTCTCCAGCTCTCAGGGATATCCTGGGGGGCAGAAAGCTGACCTCTGGCTAACGAGTTTGGATCTAATTTTTTAATTCAAGAGTTTTCCCTCTCCCAGCTCCGGCTCACCCACCCTCTGTCTCTTCCAGATCCCAGAACGCCGCGGCGCTGCAACACTCTGCTCACCCGAAAAATCCAAATAAACACCTTTACAACCTTCAGGCAGGCAGCAGAAAACAAAAATGGTAAAGGTGGGAGGGACGAGATTCCCGGGTGAACATCCCCATCCTGACACTCCCTAATCATCCCCCGGCCTCCCCTTGCAGCGCCCGATGCGGATCTTTGTGAACGACGACCGGCACGTGATGGCCAAGCACTCGGCCGTGTACCCCACGCAGGAGGAGCTGGAGGCCGTGCAGAACATGGTTTCCCACACGGAGCGGGCCCTCAAAGCCGTCTCCGACTGGATCGACGAGCAGGAGAAAGTCAGCGGGGAGCAGCCGGAGACGGAGTCCATGGAGACGGCGGCCGAGGAGGAGAGCAAGGAAGGAGGGTGAGGAGAGCTGGTGGCTTCACTGAGCTTTAAATCCATGAAATTTGGTTAGATTGGCTAAAAACTGGGCTCGCTGGTGGTGGAGAGGTTGTCTTTCCTGGATGGGGAGTTCACCAGGGCAGGGTTGATTGCTCCAGGTGCTCCTCATGGATCCAGCCGTTGGGTGGGCCTGGCAGAGAATTCCAATTGAATTGTGAATTCCAGTGAAATGGTGAATTCCAATTGAATTGTGAGTTCCAATTCAATTGTAAATTCCAATTCAATTGTGAATTCCAATTCAATTGTGAATTCCAATGAAATTGTGAATTCCAGTGAAATTGTGAATTCCAATTCAATTGTGAATTCCAATTCAATTGTGAGTTCCAATTCACTTGTGGATTCCAGTGAAATGGTGAATTCCAATTCAATTGTGAATTCCAATTCAATTGTGAGTTCCAACTCAATTGTGAATTACAATGAAGTGGTGAATTCCAATTCAATTGTGAGTTCCAATTCAATTGTGAGTTCCAATTCAGTTGTGGATTCCAGTGAAATTGTGAGTTCCAAATCAATTGTGAATTCCAATGAAACGGTGAATTCCAGTGAAATTGTGAATTCCAATTCAATTGTGGATTCCAACTCAATTGTGAATTCCAGCTCAATTGTGAATTCCAATTCAATTGTGAATTCCAATTCAATTGTGAATTCCAACTCAGTTGTGAATCCCAGTGAAATTGTGAATTCCAATTCAATTGTGAATTTCAACTCAATTGTGAATTCCAATTCAATTGTAAATTCCAATGAAATGGTGAATTCCAATTCAATTTTGAATTCCAGCTCAACTGTGAATTTCAACTCAATTGTGAATTCCAATTCAATTGTGAATTCCAACTCAACTGTGAATTCCAGCTCAACTGTGAATTCCAATTCAATTGTAAATTCCAATGAAATGGTGAATTCCAATTCAATTGTAAATTCCAGTTCAATTCTGAATTCCAATTCAGTTGTGAATTCCAGTGAAATTGTGAATTCCAGCTCAATTGTGAGTTCCAATTCAATTGTGAATTCCAATTCAATTCTGAATTCCATCTCAGTTGTGAATCCCAGCTCAGCTGTGAATTCCAGTTCAATTGTGAATCCCAGCTCAGCTGTAAATCCCAGCTCAGCTGTGAATTCCAGTGAAATTGTGAATTCCAATTCAATTCTGAATTCCATCTCAGCTGTGAATCCCAGCTCAGCTGTGAATTCCAGTGAAATTGTGAATTCCATCTCAGCTGTGAATCCCAGCTCAGCTGTGAATTCCAGTTCAATTCTGAATTCCATCTCAGCTGTGAATCCCAGCTCAGCTGTGAATTCCAGTTCAATTCTGAATCCCATCTCAGCTGTGAATCCCATCTCAGCTGTGAATCCCAGCGAAACGCTGACCCCTCCCCGTGTTTCCCCAGGGATCAGAAGGCCACGGAGCAGCTGACGAGGACCCTGCGGGGGGTGATGCGCGTGGGGCTGGTGGCCAAAGGCCTCCTGCTGAAGGGGGACCTGGACCTGGAGCTGGTGCTGCTGTGCAAAGACAAACCCACGGCCAAGCTCCTGGAAAAAGTCGCCGATAACCTGGGAGTGCAGCTCGCGGTGAGCGAATTCCCTTCGGGATGCTTCCGCTCCCCTCCTTCTGGCCTGGGAAAGTCGTTTCCGGTGGCGTTCTTTGGGATTGCCAAACGAACTTCTCGTTAATTGTGGGATGGTTTGGGTTGGAAGGGACCTTGGAGCTGGCCAGGGACACCTTCCACTAGCCCAGGGTGCTCCAAGCCCTGTCCAGCCTGGCCTTGGGCACTTGCAGGGATCCAGAGGCAGTCACAGCTGCTCTGGGGATTCCATCCCAGCCCCTCCCTGCTCTCACAGGGAGGAATTTCTTCCCAAAATCCATCTAAATCCTTTCTTTTCCAGGGTGAAGCCATTCCCTGTGTCCTGCCCTTCCATCCCTTGTCCCCAGTCCCTCTCCAGCTCTCCCGGAGCCCCTTTAGGCCCTGGAAGGAGCTCTGAGCTCTCCCCAGAGCCTTCCCTGCTCCAGCAGAACATTCCCATCCCCAGCGGTGCTCTGGGAATCCAAACCCATGGAATGTTCCGGATTGCCAGGCACCACCTTACACCCATCTCCACCCCGGCTCCGCAGGCCATCACCGAGGACAAGTACGAGATCATCCAGTCGGTGGGAGACGCCGCCATCGTCATCAAGAACACCAAGGAGCCGCCGCTGACGCTGACCATCCACCTGACGTCCCCCGTGGTCAGGGAGGAGCTGGAGAAGCAGCTGGCCGGAGGTACGGCCGGCCGGCACCCGGCGTCCCGCGGCTAACCAGCGGGGAAAGTGCTCTTCAGCTTCAGCCGGAGCCGCCGCGGCTCTTCCTGGCCAAAATCCAAACCAAATCCCTCGCCGAGATCCCGGTTGTGGTTTATCCGGACCGAGCTGCTGAAGCTGAGGAGCACCTTTCACACGGGATTTTTTTTTTTTTGCTCTATTTATTTCCTTTTTTTATTTATTTGATTTTATTTTTTTAAAGTATTATTATTATTTTATCCTTTCTTTTGGTTCCACTTGGGCCTTTAGTTCACTAATTCATCATCTCGTTGTATTACTCGTGGTTTGTCCCCGGCCATGTCAGTGCAGTGACATGAAAATAGAAACCAGATTTGTTTAAGAAACCCAAAAAAAGAACCAAAAAAATCCCCTCTCGAAGGCTTCTTGTCCGAGGAGTTGCATGTCCATGAACCGGGATGTTCCGGGATGTTCCCCCGGTGTGTGTTGCAGCAGAACGCCGGGTGCTCGGGGCTCCTCCTGTGGGCTCTTCCAGCGCCTCAGCTTCAGAATTCCGGAAAGCGATGCAGAGTTTTGGATAAAGTTAGCTTCTCCAAAATTCCCTTTGGAATCAGAATTCCAGCGGCTGCTGGTTGTCCTCTCCAATTCCGATGGGCTCCGTAGGGCCGGCGGTTCCCCCGCTCCGCACTAGCCTTATCTAAAACCCTGATCTCGAGCAATTTTGGGCGATTTCAGGCCTTTCCTCAGTTTTGCTGCAGCACAAACCGGGACCTCTTTGTGCTCTTGATTGTTGATCTCTGGTGTTGATCTCTGACCTCGTCTCCGAGCCTTCTAGTTTGTCGATTTTAGGGACGCTGGACCTTTGACCAACAGGACGTTCTCTGTCGCGGGCCGGGGCCGGGGCAGCCATCCTTCCGGGCGGAGGGTTCCCTGGATCCTCTCCGAGCCCGGCCCTTCCCTCCTCCCCAACCCCCTGAGCTCCGGCTGCGGAGCCGGGCTCTCACCCCCTCAAATTTCCCCATCGCCGGCCTCGCCGCCGCCTCTCCATCCATCCAGGATTTATTTCTGTGCCCTCCACCGAGCCTCACGCCCGGTTTCCTCCTCCTCTTCCTCCTCCTCCTCCTCCTCCTTCCAGCGCACATTCCAGCCCGTCCCTCCCTGGGAGCTGAGCTTCCCCCCGTGTCCAGGCGAGGCCGCGCGGCGGCGGCAGCGCCGCGGCAGCCCCTTCCCCTCCCGCTCCCAGCATCCCAGCAGGATTTTTTGGGAGCCTCAGCTGCCCGTTAGGATGCTGCCTCATCCCCCTCGGCCCGACAGAAGCCCCTTGGTCAAACCGTGCCTTGTCTTCTTATTCCATCCACGACTAGAAACGCTCTCAGTCACCGACTCCCCGGACGTTCTGGACAGGCAGAAATGCCTTGCTGCCTTGGCGTCTCTGCGCCACGCCAAGTGGTTCCAGGTTTGCATTTTGTTCTTATATTTATCTTTAAGTAGAAAGATTGGTAAACTCTTTTTTAAGGGGCTGAGTGTTTTTCTTTTCGGAGTTCCAAGTGGCCGCCGGCCGCTCGGAGGTGCCGGACTGTGGGCGCTGGAGCGACCTCGGAGCCTTTGTACGGAGCAGCCGCGGAGCTGCTGCTTGGTGTGAGGAGTAACGTCCCCTTGGCCAGGGCCTTGGCTGAGACCTTGGCCAGCCCCTTGGCCAACCCCTTAGCTAAGACCTTGGCCAGCCCTTGGCTAAGACCGTGGCCAACCCCTTGGCCAACCCTTGGCTAAGACATTGGCCAACCCTTGGCTAAGACCTTGGCTAAGACCATGGCCAACCCCTTGGTTAAGACCTTGGCCAAGACCTTGGCCAACCCTTGGCTAAGAATTTGGCTAAGACCGTGGCCAACCTTTGGCCAACCCTTTGGCTAAGACCTTGGCCAACCCTTGGCTAAAACTGTGGCCAACCCCTTGGTTAAGAACTTGGCTAAGACCTTGGCCAACCCTTGGCCAACCCTTGGCTAAGACCTTGGCCAACCCCTTGGCCATCCCCTTGGCTAAGACCTTGGCCAACCCTTGGCCAACTCATTGGCTAAGACCTTGACCAACCCTTGGCTAAGACCTTGGCCAACCCCTTGGCCAACCCTTGGCTAAGGCCTTCCAACCCCTTGGCCAACCCTTGGCTAAGGCCTTGGCCAAGCTCTTGGCTGAGACCTTGGCCAACCCCTTGGCCAACCCTTGGCTAAGACCTTGGCCAAGCTCTTGGCTAAGACCTTGGCTAAGACCATGGCCAAGCTCTTGGCTGAGACCTTGGCCAACCCTTGGCTAAGAACTTGGCCAACCCCTTGGCCAACCCTTGGCTAACTTGGCCAACCCCTTGGCCAACCCTTGGCTAAGACCTTGGCCAAGCTCTTGGCTAAGACCTTGGCTAAGGCCTTGGCCAAGCTCTTGGCTGAGACCTTGGCCAACCCTTGGCTAAGGCCTTGGCCAAGCTCTTGGCTAGGACCTCTGCTAAGACTCTGGCCACCCCTCGTCTGTCGCGGCTCCGAGCTCCGGGCGCGGGGCCAGGCTCCGGCTTTACCCTCGGCAAGCAACACCCGGAGGGAGCGTCGGCGGCGCGGGCGGGCGCTCGGTGAACCCCTGTCTGGTTTGGTTCCGCTTCCAGGCCAGGGCCAACGGGCTGAAGTCGTGCGTCATCGTCATCCGGGTGCTGCGGGACCTCTGCACTCGCGTTCCCACCTGGGCCCCGCTGCGAGGATGGGTAATTGCCCCTTTTCGTGTTCCGGGGAGGGTTGGCAGCGTTTCTCCCAGTCCAGCTCTGCTCTTTCCCAAGGTTCCAGCATTCCCAGCTTGGGCATTTCTGTGGATGAGCGATTTCTCTGCTCTCGGAGACGCAACCCAAAAGTCCGCGGTGCAAATGGGTTTATTGGTCGTTACCTGGCCTTGCCTTGCTAAATGAACTCGTGTTGTTACCTAATTAACAGTAATTATCAGCTCGGGTCATTGCTGAATTGCTTTATTAATTATCAGCTCACCTCGATGCTGAATTATTTTATCAATTGTCAGCTCAGGTCATTGTTGAATTGCTTTATTAATTACCAGCTCAGGTGATTGCTGAATTGTTTTATTAATTATCAGCTCACCTCAATGCTGAATTGTTTTATTAATTATCAGCTCAGGTGATCGCTGAATTGTTTAATTAATTATCAGCTCACCTCGATGCTGAATTGTTTTATCAATTATCAGCTCAGGTGATTGCTGAATTGCTTTATTAATTATCAGCTCAGGTGATCGCTGAATTTCTTTATTAATTATCAGCTCACCTCGATGCTGAATTGCATTATTAATTATCAGCTCAGGTGATCGCTGAATTTTTTAATTAATTATCAGCTCACCTCGATGCTGAATTTCTTTATTAATTATCAGCTCAGGTGATTGCTGAATTATTTTATCAATTATCAGCTCAGGTGAATGCTGAATTGTTTTATCAATTATGAGTTCAGGTGATTGCTGAATTTCTTTATTAATTATCAGCTCAGGTGATTGCTGAATTATTTTATTAATTACCAACTCGCCTTGCTATCAAGTTGTTTAATCAATTATTCAATTATTTAATATGTTGTATTATATTATAATACATTACACTACATTACATTACATTGCATTGCATTACACTACACTGTATTATATTATATTACATTACATTATATTACATTACATTATATTATATTGTATTATATTATATTATTCTATTACATTACATTACATCACGTTACATTATATTAATTAAATTACATTACGATATTATTTTAATTATATTATATTATATTATATTATATTATATTATATTATATTATATTATTACATTACATTACATTACATTACATTACATTACATCATGTTACATCATGTTACATCATGTTACATTATATTAATTACATTACATTACAATATTACTTTAATTGTGTTAATTATATTATATTATATTATATTATATTATATTATATTATATTATATTATATTATATTATATTATATTATATTATATTATATTATGTTATGTTATATTATATTATATTATATTAATACCTTACATTACATTACATTACATTACGTTACATTGCAATATTATTTTAATTATGTTAATTAAATTATATTATATTATATTATTACATTACATTACATTACATCACGTTACATTATAGTACATTATATTAATTACCTTACATTACAATATTATTTTAATAGTATATATTATATTATATTATATTATATTATATTATATTATATTATATTATATTATATTAATACCATACATTACATTACATTACATTACATTGCAATATTATTTTAATTATATTATATTATATTATATTATATTATATTATATTATATTATATTATATTATATTATATTATATTATATTAATACATTACATTACATTACATCATGTTACATTATATTACATTATATTAATTACATTACATTACAATATTATTTTAATTGTGTTATATTCTATTCTATTATATTATACTACATTATATTACATATCATTATCAAAACATTTTATCAGCTATTTATAGCTATCAGCTCTCCACTCTTGCTGCTATCAAATTGTTTTATCAGTTATCAAACCACATCGTTATCATTAAATTGTTTTATTAATTATCAAGTCATGTTACCATGACATATAAAAAAATCACGTTATTTTTAAAATATTTTTATTAATTTTCAAGTCTTGTTATCAGACAGTTTTATCAATTATCAAATCACTTTATCATTTACCAGATGTCTTCAAATCCCATCACTGGTTTTCTTTATCAATTAACAAACATTTATCAGTTATCAATTAAATTTATTTTATTCAATCACACAAACATTTATTTATCAATTATCAATTTATTTTATCCAATCACACAAACATTTATCAATTATTAAACAATTTATCCAATCACACAATCATTTATCATTTATCAATTTATTTAATCCAATCACACAAACATTTATCAGTTATCAATTTATTTTATCCAATCACACAAACATTTATCAGTTATCAATTATCAATTTATTTTATCCAATCACACAAACATTTATCAGTTATCAAACAGTTTATTTTATCCAATCACATAAACATTTATCAGTTATCAATTTATTTTATCCAATCACACAAACATTTATCTGTTATCAAATAACTTTATTTTATCCAATCACGCTAACATTTATCAGTTATCAAACAATTTATTTTATCCAATCACACAAACATTTATCAATTATCAATTTATTTTATCCAATCACACAAACATTTATCAATTATCAATTTATTTTATCCAATCACACAAACATTTATCAATTATTAAACAATTTATCCAATCACACATTTATTTATCAATTATCAATTTATTTTATCCAATCACACAAACATTTATCAGTTATCAATTTATTTTATCCAATCACACACACATTTATTTCTCAGTTATTAATTTATTTTATCCAATCACACAAACATTTATCAGTTATTAATTTATTTTATCCAATCACACAAACATTTCTCAGTTATCAATTTATTATATCAAATCACACAAACATTTATTTATCATTTATCAATTTATTTTATCCAATCACACAAACATTTATCAATTATCAAATAACTTTATTTTATCCAATCACACAAACATTTATTTCTCAGTTATTAATTTATTTTATCCAATCACACAAACATTTATTTATCAATTATCAATTTATTTTATCCAATCACACAAACATTTATCAGTTATCAATTTATTTTATCCAATCACACAAACATTTATTTATCAGTTATCAATTTATTTTATCCAATCACACAAACATTTATTTATCAGTTATCAATTTATTTTATCCAATCACACAAACATTTATTTATCAATTATCAATTTATTTTATCCAATCACACAAACATTTATTTATCAGTTTTCAATTTATTTTATCCAATTACACAAACATTTATCAGTTATCAATTTATTTTATCCAATCACACAAACATTTATCAATTATCAATTTATTTTATCCAATCACACAAACATTTCTCAGTTATCAATTTATTATATCAAATCACACAAACATTTATTTATCATTTATCAATTTATTTTATCCAATCACACAAACATTTATCAATTATCAAATAACTTTATTTTATCCAATCACACAAACATTTATTTCTCAGTTATTAATTTATTTTATCCAATCACACAAACATTTATCAGTTATCAAACAATTTATTTTATCCAATCACACAAACATTTATTTATCAATTATCAATTTATTTTATCCAATCACACAAACATTTATTTATCAGTTATCAATTATCAATTTATTTTATCCAATCACACAATCATTTATCATTTATCAATTTATTTTTTTCAATCACACAAACATTTATCAGTTATCAAATAACTTTATTTTATCCAATCACACAAACATTTATCAATTATCAATTTATTTTATCCAATCACACAAACGTTTATCAATTATTAAACAATTTATCCAATCACACAAACATTTATCAGTTATCAATTTATTTAATCCAATCACACAAACATTTATTTATCAGTTATTAATTTATTTTATCCAATCACACAAACATTTATCAATTATCAATTTATTTTATCCAATCACACAAACATTTCTCAGTTATCAATTTATTATATCAAATCACACAAACATTTATTTATCATTTATCAATTTATTTTATCCAATCCCACAAACATTTATTTATCAATTATCAATTTATTTTATCCAATCCCACAAACATTTATTTATCAGTTATTAATTTATTTTATCCAATCACACAAACATTTATTTAACTTTATTTTATCCAATCACACAAACATTTCTCAGTTATCAATTTATTTTATCCAATCACACAAACATTTATCAATTATCAATTTATTTTATCCAATCACACAAACATTTATTTATCAGTTATCAATTATCAATTTATTTTATC